TCTCTTTCAGTCATCCTCTATACACAATCATTCTGTTTTGTTGAAACATTACAAAGTTGTGATTGCAGTAGCTTTGTTCTACCTCAAGCAATGTTGAGTGCGTCAGGAATGTGACCCGTCTTTCATATCGTTGTTGTTGTTATTATTGTTGTCTTTTCCTCAGATCAATGCAAAATGAATTATAACAATCGATCTATTTAATTCTCTTATTTTCATGCAGGTGTTTTGTAGATTGTGGTAAAATAGTCTCTGCTTCGAATAAGTTTCGAGTAACATCAGAGTGTCTCAATTCCCCCTGTATTGGTTCAGAGTATCTATGGCAATTAATGAGATTCAATGATGATTCAAATCAACTGGAACTCATAAATATTCTAACCAATATGACATCGACTGCTATAAATGCAACCAACATGATTATCAAAAAGAATTCCTTGCAGTCAAGCTCGAAATACACTCTGAACTTAACTGTGATACCCCCTGGTGGAACAGCTGGATTTGCAGTGCTCGAGTTTGAGACAGCTGGGCAGCCCCACAGTGGCTACTGCGTGCCATCAGCCGTTGTAGGTTTCTCTTTGGAAACAAAATTTTCATTTGAATGCTTTGAATGGCAAGATAAAAGTACACCACTATCTTACGAATTTCGTGTTGGGGACGAGCCAATATCCTATGGCACCTCTGCAAAATCTGTTTCGACAGTCTTGCCCTCTGGCTTACCGGAAAACGATTATCAGCTGTCAATCAACATTATTATCAAGAATGCTGTTGGTGTGGCCCTTGTGGAGAAGCTCTCTGTGAAGGTAATGATAAAAAACTGTATGCCTCTGACGGTTTCTCTAAAAGGACTCTGGAATCTATCCAGTGTCACATGAGCACAACTATGATTGATGCGTAGAGTTGAATAGCGTAGAAAGTCCTGAGGGATTGTTGCACCCTCCGCACCCAAGTATTAAGAAAACACAGACGTAGTCGGCTAAAACGGAAAATTTTCACCACTCCGAAATTAAAGAAGGAAAAGAAGAATCGAAGCAAAACAATCAAGAAACGAGTAGTTTGCTGATTTAATAATTTTAGTGACCACTTTTGTTTCAAGTACAAGTGAATTTGAGCAAAATGAGATTGCTTTAGTAGTCGAAAGGCGCAAAACACTTTTATAAAAAGTAAACTTTCGTCCGCTACCTATTAAAGCTTTCAAACATTTTTTCTGTTTTCACAAGGTGGTGCCATCGTCCCAACTCGATCCTTGCCGTTCATCGGTAGAAGAAGTGTCTAACAAATTGAAAGGTTTCGTCATTGGGGACGACAGCGACTTGGATAAATTTCTAAAGAAGGGTGAAATTAGTCAAGCCTCTCAACTTGCTATCACTGTTCTCAAATCAGCCAGCGAAGTAACGGAGTGTGGGCAGACGCTCAGCAAAGATACCAAAACACTAGTGGGTCCACTTACTGTAATGTTTTTTTTATAAGCAGTGGAGAGCTGTGTGTTTGTTTGTTTGTTTGTTTGTTTGCTTGATCATTTGTTTGCTTCGTACGCCATCCACAAGAGATTATCTCATACATGTATGTAAAAATTCGTTGTTGTATACCTGATATTAATCTGAGGTAACAATTTCAAAATTTTTTACTCCCTGTAAGCTTTTTTTAGCTCCCAAAAACTTTAGATATTTCATTTACTGACGTAGATTTCAAGTACGTTAGTGGAAAAGTTCACCTCCATAAAGCCGGAGGACCTTCAGATGTCCCGAACTGTTATGGGTGTAGTCAAACTAGCAGGTGGTAACCAAGACGCTCAATCTTGCAATGACTGTGGAAATTCTGCGGTAAGAATCTAGCCTTCTCTTCTCTTACACAAGAACAGCAAAGTATCACAAAATACATGTACATTGTTTTGATCGTAATCAAATGCCTTTCTTTAGAATGAAACTATGAAACTAACGGATGCCACAACAGAACTACTTAAGTCTGTCCTTGGTGACTTAGAGGAGCCATTTTCTGATGAACTGGAAGAATCGGCTGTCAGTATCACCACGTGTCTAAAAAACGTTCTAAAGTCATCCCCTGAATCAAGCAAAGAAAGTGGAGATTTGACAAAGAGCACTGAATCTGAGAAGGTATGACAAAATCTGATTCACGAAATTAAGTAAACGAGAGTAACTCATACTATGTTATCCTGTACATATCAAGGAGTTTCACTGAAACGACATCTTGTGTAATTTAACTGCTCCAATTGTTTGCACGGAGATGAGGGTGTTTCTATCAAGATGAAATTTTCTGACCAAATTAAAATATGTGAGCACTAAAAATTAGCTACCACAGACAGTATCAAACAAATAACGCTTGCAAATTCCTAGTCAAGAAATTGATTATCGCTCGGAAATTGCATTTAGTAGAAAATTTTAACAGAAACTCCTTTTACCACAGGAGAGTGTGAAGCAAGCTGCTGAAAAACTGGACGCTATGAACGACGCATTTTTCGCACGCCTGGTTCCCTCTGAAAATCTTGTCCTAAAAACGCCTGGCTTGACATCGACCCTTAAGAAGGTATCTGCTGACGGTATAAAGGGTCTTAATATGGAAGATGGACCAACAAAATTTAGACTACCAGGAAACCTAGGGAATATGGCTGATGGAAACATCAATGCAAAGGTATGGAGTTTTAAAGCGTAGATATACAACAAACCTGGCATTTTCAAAATTGAATGTCATTAGCAACTATCTGTCAACGCTTTTGACGTTTAGCGTTGCATCAAAAGTTTGAACCTTTTATTCGAAATTACTCTCCTTTCGTCACTTATTGCTACGAAATTGTATTCGATCCAATTGCTTTGATGACTAAGCGTTCCGAAACAATTTTTTTTTGTTTCTCAGTTGCAATGATGGCTTACACATTCTTTACTGCAGTAGTACTGCAGTAGAAAAGTCATACACACAAACTTCGAAATGTTTCTCCAAATATATTTTATTTTCAAAGAATACGTGCTGGGTATATCACAGCAGGACACTGATTCTCAAAGTATGAAACTAGAGGCTTGATCAACTGAATTGGCCACCTCAGATAGTTTCTAAACCTGACTTTTCGAGCGTCAGCCCTTCGTAAGAGCGAATAGTCTCATTAGTAAATTACGCCTTTTAGTTGAAAAAGTATATCCTCTGTGTTCTGTTTTTGCAGATGAAAAGTGCTGACTTTAATCCCTTCTCTTGGGACAATAGCAGCAAGAAAGTTCAGTCCAGTGTCATTAGCCTCGAGCTTCAAACGGAAAATGCAACAAAACTGAATGTTTCAAACCTCGATAATTACATTGAGATAGTTATACCTATTTCCACCCCACCTTCAAATACCAGCAACGGATCAGAGCATTATTTTCTAAAGCCAAACCAATTGACTATGAGGAGCTATTACGCCGACCTAGCAGATGTACCTGTTTCCATCAGCCTGGGTGTGGCAAAAGAGGAAACATTAGTTAAAATGTTTGTGAAATTTGGGTCAAGGCCTACCACAGACGACTCTGACCTCAACTTTACGCTAAAGCTCACGTCAAAGTGCGGAAATGTGACAAAGAGCGCGGCCAACGAAACTTCGTGCATTCCAGAAGAGAGAGTTGTTACCATACTTCCTATCGAACCAAGTCACATTTATATAGGTTTATTATATGAAGAATCGAAAAATGTAAGCGAGCATTCCAGAGAGACACGGTCATGCTTTGGCCATAGTCGCCAGAGACGATCATGCGTTGGCGTTAAAGATCCACCTCCAAAAGGGATCCTTCAGACGATTGTACCTCAATATAACCCACAAACTGATGTCAACTATACGTTTACTATAACCCAATCAAGTTGTTTGTATTGGTCTGAAGATGAGGAAAAGTGGACATCCGATGGTTGCAAAGTAAGTTTCAATAAAATCATGATTTCCAAAAAATTCTTAGAAAACAGGATAACCAGCCACATTACCCTACAAGGTGAGCTAAATCCTAGAACGAAATCTATCGACATATACTGATGGCAGGTGTTTTTTATATTTCCATGGCAGGTCGACGTGGGCTCTAACACCACACATCTCAAATGCCTCTGCAACCATCTGACGTCTTTCGGCGGAAACTTCATTCAAGCTCCCAATCCCATTGACTTCGACAAAGTTTTCACGGAGTTTGCTCGACTTAGCGAATCGGGCAACATTTCAGTGCTCGTGACAATTGCATGTGCGTTCCTTATTTACTTTGTAGCTCTTATATTTGCAAGGAGGGCTGACAAAAGAGATGAAAGCAAGGTATGAATTTAAGTATTGCATGTAATATTTACGTACAAATCATCCCGCAGTAGTAATACGGTTAAGAGCTTACGATGAGAAATATGACCTTTTCCAATTTTTACTCTATACCAAAGTGTAGCTTTCTTCTTTATTGTCTCTTACATCCAAAGAAATGAAAGAATGTGTCTAGCAATGTGAAATCAAATTAAAACAGTCTTTTTAAGTTAAGTAGGTGTTTTCGCTGGACATTTCAATTATTTAGCGGGGAAATAATCGAAAGTTCGGTCTCCCATCATCAGCAACAATGACGTTACTCTTTGTGTGGCACCACTACCATGTTAACAAAGTAAACTATGTTATGTTTACTTGTTTTTTTGCAGATTTTCTCACCGCTACAGATAAATCTTGTTGAAGAAGGAACATACTACTACGACATGGTTATCAGCACTGGCGTCTGGAATGATTCAGCAACAACGGCAAACGTAACGATGAGCATTAAAGGAGACAACGATGAACATGATCTCATTACTCTTCAAAAACATGGTGATTTACAAGAAGTTTTTGGTCGAGGAAGTATAAACGGTTTTGTTCTGGTTACAAACGAGTCATTAGGAAATCTAAACGAAATAACTTTGGAACAAGATAATTCAGGCGAAAATCCATCTTGGTTTGTAGAAACAGTGGTAATCAGGGACAGACAAACAGAAGAACGCTGGGTGTTCCCCATAAATAGATGGCTTGCACTTGAAAAAGACGATGGGCAGATAGAAATTAGTGTAAAAAGCAAAGCAGCTACATCCTTTTCGGCGGAGGTGAGATCGCGTTTTGGGAGAAAGATAGCTGACAGCCATTTGTGGATGTCGGTCTTCAGTAAAGCGTGCAGTAGTACATTCACGCGCGTGCAAAGAGCGTCGTGTTGTCTTTCAATTCTCTTCAGTGCAATGATAGCCAATGCCATGTTCTATAATATTGGCGGGGAGTCAGCGGGAGCAATACAAATTGGACCTTTCAAGTTTTCCTGGAGACAAATAGTCGTTGGAGTACAGAGTGCTATAATAGTTGCACCTGTAAACGTTCTGATTGTGTTTCTGTTTAAGTCTAGTAGAACAAAGGAGAAGAAAGAAGACAAATATAAAGATTCCTTTCAAGCACAACAGCTCGTCGATGAAGTAAATGGTCAAGGCTGTATGCTACCACATTTCTGTGTATACATCGCTTGGTTTCTCTGCTTTGTCACCACTATGACAGCAGCAACATTTACGTTATTTTATAGTTTAATGTGGGGTAAGGAAGTCGCTGAGCAGTGGCTGGCCTCCATTCTTATTTCCAATGGACAAGACGTTTTTGTTATGCAACCAACAAAGGTCATGTTAGCAGTTATTTTAGTTTCCTTTCTTATGACTAGAAACAAACAGGATGATGTGGAAGAGGGAGATGTAAAAGATGGTGAACTTGATGACGATAACGTGGATTTTTTAAGTGATAATCCTAAACAACGCTTTAAACAGAGCCTCATGGAGAAAATGCGCATACGAAGCAGACAAGAGGCTCAGTTAGCAAGTAAAGCGAGGGAAATTGTCTTCCATTTATTATTTGTGTTTCTGCTGTCTGTAGTCTGTTATGGCAACAAGAATGAGAATCGTTTCTTGATGACAACAGAGATGAAAAATATTTTCGCAAGCTTTGATCAGGTATGAAACACTTTGTTTTTATATCTTTTAAAATTGAAAATCGATAACATTAAGGATAACAGTGGTAGTGATAATAATGATAGAAATAACGATAACGATGATTAGTAATGGCAACTGAACTGAGTGGATTCCAATTCGGTTTGTAATCAAGGAGTGATTTATTGCTTACCAGTATTAATACTGAGTGAAATGGGCGATATAAAATTTTGTTAGCAGAATTCAAACTATGACTAACTTTGAGAGAAAAACTCGGCATCCATGATTGCTTTTCAAAAAAAAAATGAACAAACAAACAGACAAGCAAACAATTTTTTTCTGACGAAATGCGCGACAACGGCGTGCACATATGACGAGTGCTATCTAATTACACAGGCAAGGCGCGCACACTGGTAAAAAAAAAACTGTGCAATTAAAAGCATGGCACTTACATTGTCCTAATTAATACCCAGACCGGGATGATGAGAATCAATCACGTTCGATAATTCTGTTACAAATAGACTTGATTACAATGATCATGATGAGATTTATTTCATAATGAGTTAGAGTGGTGTAGTGAAGTAGGGAATGGTGTAGTCGCAGTGTATTTGGAACGGGTTTTTGAGAGACTTGATCAGACCAGGCTAATGAAGCCTGCTAATGATGATCTTAGTTCCCTCCTTCTACAGTTCTTATCATTTTCATTCATCTTTTTATTAAAAAGAGGACTCGTCATAGGCGAAACGAAGTAAAGGCGGCAGTACTAAATGCAGTGTAGAAGTTTGGTTATGTTAAGTTTCTGAATAACATACAAATCACTCCCTTTTACTTAACTTAACTTAACCCAATACAAGTCAATATTTAGTTCCTCAATCTAATTATGTGAACTTACTTTTGTGTTCCGTGTTAAGGTGACTGATTCGCGAAGACTGTCGAGATGGCTGGCAGAGAAGTTTCTACCAAACGTATACAACCAGGACTGGTATAATGGCCTCGAAGAACCAAATGATGTTTACATCGCCAATAAGATGTCCATACTGATTGGCATGCCTTGGATGCGACAGTTAAGAATTCTTAAAAGTACGTTGATGATAATTACATTTGACTCAATTATAATACTATTTGTATATGATTAATTTTATTACGATTCGTTTCAAACTTCTGATTCCTTTTTTTTCGTGTCCTGAAGGTCATTGTAAGTCACTTCCTGCAACTATACCAGACTGCTACTACGATTATTCTCCAGAGATAGAGGACACAACAGAGCTGAGTCTTCCAGGCTGGCGGCCACTTCCCTTTAATACATCCTGGCCAAAGGCACTTCGAATTTGTCCAAAACCCTGGCGTTACCAGACAGCTGAAACGCTGGACACTGATCCTGTAAAAGCCGTGTACAACACTTATGGAGGAGGTGGTTACGTGGCCATCTTGGGATATGATGAGCAAACAGCACGTGGCGTTTTAGAGGAAACCATTGGCCATGGATGGCTTGATCGAAGTACTCGATCAGTAATTGTGGAGCTTGCGACGTTCAATATCAATACAAATTTAATTAGCATTGCTACGTTTATCTACGAAATGATTGCAGCTGGTGCAGCCTACACAGTTATGAGAGTGGACACCCTTGAGTTGTACAGCACAGAGTCGGGGGCTCTCATGTTTTATCTCATTTGCCAGTTTTTATTCTTGGCAATGGTGCTATTCTACCTCTTCATGATGTTGTTTCACCTTTACCGACAACGGTTGGGTTTTTTTTTCAAGTCTGTCTGGAATATGGTTGATTTCTTGATGATCATCTCTTCTACAACGTCTGTTGCGTGCTACATGATGAGATCAAAGAAAATCTTAAACAGCATCAATGCAATTCAAAAAAATCCTTTCGAAATAATTCATTTTCATTCTGCTTTAAATTGGGCCAGCTGGGAAAATGCTTCTATTGCTCTCGCGATTTTTATGGTTACAGTGAAGCTCTTAAATCTTATTCGTTTTAATCCTTACGTCATATATTTGTTTTCATCTTTCCGCCAGTCTGCAGGCTACCAACTGTCCTATTTTGTTTTCTTTGTCATAGTATTCAACGCGTTTGTTATATCAGGAATGCAGCTTTTCGGAGGAGTAGTTTATCATTACTCTAGTTATCTGCATGCTGTCATTTCGCAATTTGAATTTCTGTTGGGTAAAGCAGTCCCAATTGCTGATCTTCGCAAAGACAAACCTTTTATCGGTCCAACTTTTGTTTTTTTTTTCATGTTAATGATGACGATATTTCTTATGAATATGTTGGTATCTGTCCTGAACGAATCCTACACTGACGCTAAGGATAACGCAGAAGGAAGTTCAGAAGAGCTGGAAATGGCGCGCTTCATTGGGGAACGTTTCATGGCCTTATTTCAAGAAGGAAAAAGGCGACCAGAATTTAAATTATTTTGTGACGAAACAACTTTTGTTAACATGTGTCGTTCCGAGGCAGAACCGTTCTGTTTAAATTCTCAAAGTCTTCTTCAGTGCACGGAGGAACGGTTAGAAAAACTAGATAAAAGAATAAGCGCAGTCATGAGACGGACAGAGAACATCGATGGTGATGAACTAGATGAGGAGAAAGAGTTTCATTCTCTGCTCTTGTTATTGATTAATTCTCATTAGTATTAAGATACGTTCACCTTCATTTTGAGCCGATTTTAGAAGGAAACAACTTTGTGAGATCTCGATTCTACAAAGCTTCAATTCTTTAAGTTTGAAGTAGTGACAATAATTTTGTCAGTACGATCATCTCCACAACAGGAACCTAGAACAAGTTCGAGTTTATTGATTCTTCATAATAGGGTGCTTTTGGTTCCCGTACAGCTCTGGCTTATCCGGCTCACAATCGCAACGTTACTTATGGAATTCCCACATGATTTTTCAGGTTAGATATAGGAAATCTGAAACTGAGTAAAAGCAGGTCCATGCTCGACGAACACAAGGCGTATAAGTAACAGAACACACAAAAAACCATCTCGTCATGGCGCGCATCCCTCAAGACCCACTTCCTGTAAGATATGAAAATTCATGCAAAACTTTCGTAATCGCAAGAACTTCCTGACTGTATATTCACCAATGAAACCTAAGTTTTACCGCATTGTCTTTTGTTAAATATCATGACGTCTTTTGATATTGTGTCAGCAAGCTATGTATTCAATGTTGAGGTTTTTTTAATCTATTTTAACTAAGCGTTTAAGGAGTCGATTCAGTCGAAATAGTAATGAAAAAATAGCTGAATTAGGCAAGAGATGAAGGGAAATACATGCTTCTGATGGTAGACTTGCCCATTTATTTGTAGAATTAATTATCAGAAAAAGGTTTTGTCCTTATTAAGCCTAAAATCGACTATCGCCCTGGACCACGACCACTAACACATTCTACGACAACTCGTAATGTTGACTGCAAAGGAGATTATAAGACTAATCAGCCAGAATTGGAGGCGAAGCAGGAAATTTAGACCCTAAACGTGTTTTCATTTGTTTTGCTTTGTTTTTCTGGTTAGCCTTTGACTTTAGATTATAACGAAGTACTTTTCTTTCTTTCCTTTTTTTCCTCTCTTTTTTTGCTTCGTGGCATAAATGTTATCATATCAAGTAATTTAAGACTTAAATGTTAAAAGCTTATTGCAGAGGGGTAAGTTAAGAAATTAGCGCCTTCCTCTCAATAAGTTGGTACCATCAGTGAGTAAGGAGGTGGCCGATCTTCAAATTGAGAGTGCCCTTTCGAGATGTTTCCAATCTGTATATCACGCGAGATACGCAGAAAATTTTTTGTTTCATCGGCCGATGTTGTCCTTTATTTTTTTTTCTCTAAGTATATAGTTAGACATATAATAACTTATGTATCATTAAGTCCGATGATTTAAATGATTTTAAGATGATCATTTACTTTCAATTAATGTTACGTCATCAGTAATATGGCAACTAAATATTACGTAGTGATCGGTAGTATTGTAAATTAGGTAACTTAATTAGAGACACTGCGTAAGTATTTTATCGTAGATTGTATTAGTCTTATATATTCCGCTTTATAAATAGTTTACAATGCTAATAGGATCGAGTGGAGTCGAAATCGGTCTGATTATTAAGTGATCATCATGAGTGATTAATTAAATCGAGCTATGAGTTCAAATGTGATTACAGATAGAATTGATCGATCTTATGAGTAGAATCGAACTGATGAGTTCGAGCATGATTTCAGATAGAATCGGACGACACGAATTATCATAATTAATTATAACCGTTACAATTTTAGAAAAAAAAAATCAATATATTTAGGCCAAACATCTCCAGTAGAGTTCATGTTTAAAGTTAAAAATTCCCCTTTTTTTTTAGAACAAGTATTTGCTGCAATGGTTATTGAGTTCAATTCTGTGATTAGTAGATTTAGCTGAGAAGACTTAGCGTGATTGGCTGTTTCAACTATCCGATCACAGGTGTCCGATTACAGCCAACAGTCCGATTACATTGTCCGATTACAATTGTACAGAATGATAAGCGAACAATAAAGCAGCTAAAGCACCATTCACATTTGAGGAAATTGTAATGGTTAGGATTAGTTTTATAATTGGTATTTCCCATATGCTAAAACCTCAAACACATTATTTGTTCAGGTAGGATGAGGTCTTGCCTATTGGTTTATTTCACTCTGAAGATCGCTTAGTGAGTAAACAGGTGCATTCATTGGGCGCACTGTACTACATGATCCAGATTACCTTACGGAAAGGAAGACAAAAAGTTTTATCTTGACTAATTTGCACCCCTAAAAGAAAACTAAAATTGAAGACATTGGAAGTTAATTTATCTAATAATCTGTCAAATGTTTGAATATTAACATTTAATTTGAGCTCTGTCAACGTGATCCTTGTACCAGCTAACTTTTTCTCTGCCATGTTTTCAATGCTCTTTCATAAAGGCATATTGATAAAAGGTGTCAGAAAAAAGGCACAGAAGGAGGAGAACAAGAGAAGGAGCACGGCAAAGGGAGCGGGAAATGATGATATTTTGTTCATGGTGGCATGGGTTCAGGGTGTGTAATGTTTCATGAAGCACCTTTGTAAAGAGCACCGACTCAATGAAACGATAGGATAAAGGATTTCGGTAAGAAGAAGAATGGTTAGAGAAGTTTTTCAGGAGCCAAAGGATTAGATAGTTCAATTTTCGGAGAAGGGGAAAATAATAAAAAGAGACCAAACAAAAGCTACGGAGGCAAATGGGAAGAGATGTTTACAACCTTTGAAATATGTTAGAAGCTGCACTATTAGCATTTTGCAAGAAATTTATCCTAAGGAGAGTGAACTTCCACCGTGGATTTTTCCGCCATTTCCCGATCTATAACCCTCTACACCTTTCATATGTAGAGTATCACGAGGCTTTAGACAAGAAGGGCTACCATGAATACCAGTTTTCAAAGGAGTTGAATAACCATTCCACAGATTGGAGTCTGCAATGTTGTATTTCTATCAAGGATTCATTCACCAGTTCAACCAGAGGAAACAGAACAATACAATTGGAGTATTTCAATAGAAATTAACTGATTTCATTTTGGGTAGTTTTTCCAATGATCATTAGGGCAACAAACTCTGTTTATCTTAATAGTGATGATAATTAAAAGAGAGAACAGATGTAATAATGTCTCAAAAAAAGATGCATTATGCAGAGATCACCTCATCTTAACTGTATATAATGATATTTAAACAGGAAGCTCTCTCACCCGTACGTGATCTACAGAGAGGTCCTAATCCAAAATTACATTAAATTGTTAAAAGTAAATAAAAATTGCAGATATTAAAAAAGTACAAAACTAAGCTATAGATTAAAAGATTTAAAAATTTTTTTCTTAAACTGACATATAGTGCCAGAGTTCTTCAAGTCACTGTCCAAGGCATTCGAGTCTTTCAAGGCATGATAACAGGTTCTTTGTTTACCTCAGTTCCGTTTAACTGATGGAAGTCTAGGATGATCTTTGCAACGAGTGTTCTATCTATGTACATTGCTGTTTCTAGATAATTCCAATTTGTTAGATGTAGTTCCATTCACGCATTTATAAACATACAAGCAGCGATGGAAGTGCCTGCGTTGTTTTAAATTTAGCCAGCCGAGCTGATTGAGAGCATCGGTTGCAGAAGAGTACAATGGTTTATCTAGAACAAGTTTTGCCGCCTTATTTTGCAACACCTGCAGATTAAGGCGGCAAAACTTGGTCTAGTTAAATTAAAATTAATTTTATTTTTCCTCTTGTGAATATCTGATCTTTCCTACCTTATAATCCTCACGGTGAAGGAATGAATTTACAAAGGGACTGTAGATATATTCACGCCCGTTTTAGACTAGGTAACTGTTTTGGACATCTACTTTTCTGAAACAGAGCTAGACTATCTGTATCTAATAGTTCAACAGTCTTCCATTTAAAATGTTGAAGGAATTAGGAGTTCGAAAATAACCGCCGTTTTGTATAGTTTGCCTTGTCATTGCGACAAGAACGCTTTGAAGTTGCCATTATTACATTTTTGCGGCTAGAAGCATGTCATATTGGACACGACGTCAGCTATGACGTAGCAATAGTCCAACTTTGTTCGACGCCTTGTCATTGTTGATCTCTTTAACCTTTGTGACAATAATTTTGAATAGTTAAACTACGGTGAACTGTCCTGATGCTTGAATCTCAAAATAAGTATTTAAATAACACAGATAAAGGCGTAAGCTTCCACAAGCTACCGGAAAGTGAAATGTTAAAGAAAATATGGCTAACAAAAATAATGCGCGAGGGTGGCTTGCCAACTCCTGAAAACCAAAACAACTACCAAAACAAAGACTTCAGGTTGTCCTTGTTGACCTTTGCTTCAAACTGAAAGCTATGTTAGCTTTTTTTATATTCAATAAAATTTAATCTTATCTATTCCTTTAATTAAAAAATATGTATATGTATTTCTTATTGGAAGTGAATAAATTGAAGCTCAAATGGTGATAGACCATGTGTGGTAAACTCTAAGTCGCCCCCTGTGATCAAAGCCGATTTTTAACCTGGTACGCTTTTCCCAAACATTGGATAGATATATCTTGTCTTTCCCAAACATTGGATAGATATATCTTGTCTTTCCCAAATCTGTACTGCGTCCACTAAATAAACTATCTTTATCTCACCCATCGCAAACTCTAACGAGAAAAAACCAATCGCCATAGAACACATAGCCGGCAAATTACCGAGCAAACGCGGTAGCAACATGCAAACACAAATTATTCTTCGCTAAGCAGGCTCCTATATTCGATTGGACACAATAAAAATTATATAACAATAACTTATGTCTTCCAACTAGCTACTTGGCGTAAATACCCAGTACTGATGCTTTCAAAAGAAATTGAAAGTACGATTTTAGGTTGATTTTTAGAGCGGTAAATTCTAAGGTAAACACCGGTTGACAGAGGAGACTCTTTGGCGCGCGTCGTAAATAATGAAGCTCTGCTTCACACAAGTCACAACACTTAAAACAGTTTATAATGGAAAGTCTTCCGATGAGGCTCATTCTAAGCGCGAAAGAATACAACACCACTTGCAACTTAAAGCTTAAAGCTAGAAACAAACAAAATTCAATTTGTAACAACTCCTGCATTCTGTCTGCATTAATTAATTAATTATGGAAAGTAAGTGTTTCTAATGAATTTTGTCGATCAGAGTTTACGCATACGAAGGATGATCTATCATTTCTTACTTGTTGGCAACCAGGGCTGTTCTTAAGTCCAAATGACTCGAGCTCGATAATACACCGAAGCTGGGTTCCTGAAACTGTACTAATAATTCATTCTATTCAGTCAGCAATGTGAAATGAATCCGTCTTGGGCACTGCCGTCCTCTTTAATAAGATAACTGTCACTCTAGGGAACGGGATTAATCGCAACAAACATATTTTAAAGCTCAAATGAGTGGCCAATTAGTACAATGTATTTTAGAAACTTATGATTTAGTTGAGCTTTTTGTGGACCGTATTTTCCCTTTAAATGAATATCTTCACAGGTTTTCAGTCAGCTCATCGTTAAGTTAATTATTACAAATCAAAGTCCTTGTGTGATAACGTAAACGGAAGGGGTCTTAATTTAATAAAAATAAACATGTGGTATCTTACCATCCTTTTATAACTGCCCAGGGAGTTTGTGTCGCTGTTAATTAAAAGATGAAAGGCAACCAACTGTGTTTAAATCAATGAATCTTATTTTGTTGATGCCCCCTACATGCTGTAACCATACCAATGTATTGTTTCCTACTTAATTTAACTGATGATTTTAAAACATTTCATTCAGGAGGTGATCTAGAAAATACTTGCACTGCTTTTCTCAAAAGCGCTGGTTAAAAATTTATCATTTTCCTTACCATTTGGAAGAAGCTTCATTGTAGAAACTGTCAGGCAGAATCATTGCTCTTCAGTTGGCGATAGACAGATGAAATTGTATCTAAGACTTCCAAAATCAAGCGAGCATGGAAACTTTAACATTTCTTTATGGAGCGAAGGTGAGTTTTCTGTTTTCAAAGTGCGTGATTTTACGTTTCCCGGATTAAATGAAAAAAAATATTAAATAAGCTTTCATTGGAATTTTTAAAGTCAACTAGATAAACTTTGATTTTATATCCAGCGACTCGTCAGATTAAGTTGTGCGTCAGATAGATAACCATAATGACCTTCGGTGTTTCGTTTTAGGAAGTGGCTCTTTTCATTTCCTTCAGATTAATGACATTGGTCATGA